TATTATAACTATTATCATTATTATCATTATTACATGTATCATTACTATTATTAAATTGTATGGTATAGTTTTGATGTCTTTTTCGGCTCGTTAAGTCTAAGGCTACTTAAAAGATAGGGCATTTGATTTCAAAGTGACCTCCAATGGAAAATATACCATGAGGCTTGAGAAACATGAAAACTCACCAAACAACTGCAAGTGCGCTCATATAACCTTATGCAGTTGCGAGCGTCGTAAAACACTGACCAAAACAAACAACCCCAAATTCAAAGGATTGCCTAAAAGGGATTCGAGCCAAAATTCATCTTCAAAGGAATATATCAGTACACTATGTCAGCTTAAGGTGCTGCTCGGAAAGATAGAAATTAACGGCGAATTGTTGGATTCTAGAGACAGACAGGACATTTCGTTTGTGTCGCAAGCATTGCTCGTAAGTCTGTTTGGTGTTTAGGTAGATTTTTCACCAAAGACAAAAAAAAACAACAAAAAAAACGTGTTTTTGTCCTGCTGTTCCTCTCAGGAATCATAACACAAAGGATTATTAGTCTTGACAATGGCATTAAACTACATTTGATTCTTTCCCCAAGACTTCATAATGTCTGGAGACAAGAGCGAAATTTTAAATTAATTTATAAGTATGCAAGGATGGCAAAATATTAGGTGAGGCATTGTCATGAAATCTGGTGCTCGTCCAAATAACAAAATCTAAATAAGAAAACAGCATTTTTCTGCCGGTTAGGCAAATTTTATCGATTTTTTTTCAGCTCAAAGTCTTTCATATCCATTTAAAAACGCATTTCTAAGTCGATTTTACTGGAAAAACGTTGATCAAAGACACAAAAAATGTAAACCTGCAGTTTTTAAGCTTTGGAAGACACCAAACTTTGGCAATCATTTGTCGCAAATAATTTTATCTCTGCTACCCAGGACCAGTACCTTGACATCTATTCAAGACAGATGCGTATTATTATAATAAATGAACTATTTATAAAACTATAACTTGTTTAAGATAAAAAGGAAATAGAGTCGAACCTGTGTAAGACGGTCACCCATTGTTGAGGAGAAAAGTGACCGTCTAAGACAGGTGACCGTCTTAGGAAGGACTGATGAAAATGAAGAAAACCAATCATTCTCTTTTAAGGTCCCAACCGGGGGGTGACTACAGGCAAAGTTAGGACTGCTACTGTAAAGTTAATTAAATGTTGATATTTTGTTTGTTTGTTTGTTTGTTTGCTTGTTTGTGGTTTTGTTGGGGGGGGGAGGGAGGTTGTTTGTTTTTTTGTGTTTTTTTTTTGGGGGGGTAGGAAGATTTTTGGTTTTGTTATTGCTAGGGGGATGGGGGTTGCTGGGATTTTGTTTTTTACATTCCCTTCTGCGTTCCCGACTTGGGTTGGTTGCTGACTCAGGACATGGGTTACATTTCTACATTGATGCCGTCATCAGCTGCTGCATTTATCTGAATGTGGGAAACATGTTTGTTTACGCTGAGAGGCGAAGTCTCGCGACTGCTGTAATTAAATTCTACAATCTGTATCAACTGAGGAAGACAGTGTGCAAGGGTAAAACAAAACTAATTCATGTCTCACACAAGGAAGACAATGTGAAACAAACAAATGGGTCGCCACCATGCAGCGTGAGACCATTCTTTTGCAAGTTCATGTTGATGTTCTATACGGCATTTACAACAAAGACAAAGAGGCCGTCTCAAACGTCTTACGTTATTTTGGTTTACTGAGATGCCCGTAGTATAACTAAAAGAAATAACTCATAATATTTACAGCCTTTACAAACAATGGTACTGATCTAAGTCTTGATAATACTTGCTCAATTGGACAAATTATGACAAATTAAGGTGTGCAATCATTGTAATGCTACGAAGTTTCAAGGAGAAACAAAAAAAGTATTTGCTGTGGGAATGGGAAACATAAACTGGGTCCATACCCACAAAAGCTAACAGAAATTAAAGGTCTGTTCAGGGGTATTTCCCCAGACTCGCGCATTTTTTAAGAAACATCAGAAAGTATAATTAATTGTTCACTTCAAATGATGAATTTGCAAGACTGGAACCCAAATTTCCGTGTGCAAGGGCAGGTTTATCACTTGGTTGGCTCATTACCTCCAACAGAGCATGAAAATGAACAGTTTTTGCAGGTCTATTTTTTAGACCCAGAGGACCAAATAAAATCAAGAATGACAATGACACATGACTGCAGTTTTAAACGCTGTAATCGATATATTACAAGACAGTCTACACTACAAACAACAAACACATCACAAAGAAATAAAGACTGCACACCAATATGCAACTCAAAAACGACTTCAACATTTCAACATATCAATTCATGAAAATGCTAGACCACTCGGTGAGTTCCATGTTTGAAAATTCATTTTTTTTTCAGGTATAGAATAAAACCATCCTGTTTTAATCAAAGAACTGTTTAAATTACTGCAGTATTGACATTTTTATAATTTACATTTCAACATTAATTTTGCCCCGAAAACATTATTTTCCCGTTCATAGAACGGGTACTCTGGCTAGTATTATTATATTCAGATTGAAATAATATTTACATTTTATATGTAATTTCCATAATATGCCAGCTGAATACGCAATGGATTATCACAGAAAAATCGGTCACTGTTACACAGAAGCCAAACTATCGGTAGAGGCTCAGCTAATTGTTGTTAGATGAACTTCACGCAATTTCACTGCAAAATGACGCAAATGTGTTCCTCACTTCAGAACGTTGACATAATGCTCGTCACATTCTTTCCTTGGGTACTTTTTCTCTGTAACCACAAGGAGTGAACAGCGACTTCCAAGTGTCCCTGAAATTTTTGTTCAGCCCGACATACACAATGAAATTACAGGAACTGTTGGTACAACCGACAACGTTCATAACCTGGTAACCAATACGACCGACATTGTTCGGGGCGTCTCCAGTCATGGTGTAGTAACCATACTGGGGCAGATAGTTGGGTAAGGAAACGATCGCACACGTCATGGTGTATACTGCACACACAGACAGGAGCATTTTGTTCGTGCGGTTCGACTTCGTTTCTTTCGCTCCGCTCGACGTCATTTTTCTTCTCTTAGCAGACGCCATTTTGATCTTCACAGCAATGATCACACAACCAATCAGTGTGAACGCAGGAGGTATTTTTAGAGTGAGGTACTCTATCACATCGTCAAGCGCTTTGCTCACGTCTCTTTCTTGATAATATCGATCTGATCGTATGGTTATGCCCATCGATATGTTACGTTTCGGATCAAAAACGTACTTGAACTGAAACCAAAGTGAAGAGTAGAAAATCAAAACGATCCAAAACAAGCATATGATGGCCACAGCTGTCCATGTTCTCGCAGGTGTAATGATCCTTGAGAACTTCATAGGCAGGAACACAGCAACAAGTCTCTCAGCCGTGATCAACATGGGGATAGCTAGAGAAGACAACCCGATCGCGTAGTCGAGAAAATGAAATAACGTGTAGAGGACAAATAAGATATGGGCGGTCACCTCGTTGTAATCCCAGGCGAACGCTACGCCAGATAACTCGTACAAAAGTTTAGGGACGCTGTTGAAAGCGATGAGATAGACGAAGTCGCAGACAGCAAGGCAAAACAGCAGAATGTTGGAGCATTTGTGCAGTCCATGCTTTAGTAAGACGATGATGCTGAATACATTACCCAGAACCCCAAGGGTGGAGATAGTGGGCGTGACGCCGTACATGAGAATCTGCATGACAAGGTGGGTGGTCTCATCGCTAAGAAGCTCCACTCTCTCCTTATCTCCGGGGTTTGATTGGTTGCTCATGTTGTGCATGAAAGTATGTTGTCCTAGTTTAGTGGCTTGGGGGTCAAGCTTTCAATAGCAATACTGCTGATTCCAAATCCTCGTGGATGAACCTATTCGTAGTATGGGAAAGTACATACTCTATTTTCTTAAGTCCATCACTTTGCAAATGAAAAACCAACATCAGTGGAGTTGTGGGTGATCCCGGTTTGATCATGAACATGGATCGTCTTGATTTAGTGGTTAGGGCGTCAAGTTTCTATTTGCCGTATCCTTGGTTCCAGTCCCGGCTTCCTGGGTAGAATGCTATGTTGCATGGTAGGTTACTTCACCGCATTTTTTTTCAGTTCATTAGGCTACTGATGATTACTTGAAACTCGACAAAGGAGGTGCGTATTCCTGGAGAACATGAATGTAATTGGCTGATCAAGGAGTCCATGTAAGATCGTTTGGGCGTTCTTCGGAGACACTATAACTTATCTAACTTCTTAAACATCCTTTTAAAATACCGCTTTGAAGAATCACTTAATAGTACAATTCCAAATAAACCTCTTAAAGATCACCCTGAAATGTCTCATAATTTTAACTACGATCTTATTTATGCCACAAAATGTAGTGTTCTGCTGCCTAGTTTTTTCCTTGATTTTCAAGCCCCAACAGTCCCAACCATTGCCTTTGACAACAATTGCAACATTTTCTGGTTACCGCTGTTGGTGTATTTATGATATATTTGTTAATATACAATGGTTAAAAAAGCCAACATCTTTGTGCTGAAGATTTTCTTTATCGTCGTTGATATCGTTCCAATTTCCTTTGAGATTGTACTTAGTTTAGGTATACATTCAGACCACAACTTTATCGATGAAAGGTAACCCAAACAATACTATTAAATAATAATAATATTTATGGTGTTCAGGGAAAGACAAATTAGGCATGGTAATATGTCTGAAATCATCAAAAGTCAAGAGATGTATGTAGATTTCTTATAGTGTGATGAATAAAATAGTGCAAAATGTAAGTTTTTCGACTAGATTCTACCTAATTTCTCCAAGATGGATGCTTGCATCAAATGCCTTTTTCTGCACAACAAGGATAAATCGTTTAGGAGGCTCAGCAGCTTCAAACTTGGTTGCCGAGGGTCAATATAAACTTAGTGGGATACTACTATATCCCATAAAAAGACGTTGTTACTCGATGAAGTATCTTCCCTTCAAAAACAAGGCAAAAAGTATAACTATTACACAACGGGTAGCTCTTTAGAAGTTCTTCATGTAAGAACGATTTGTCTCAGAAAACTTTCCTAATATAAGACTTTCTTCAACCGTGAATAAACAATGGTATAGTAAAAGCATAGGAGACAGATGTGTAATACATGTAAGTCTCGGCCTTTTAAAGCTTATTGAAGCTATAATTAGATAAAATACGACAAAAAACCCATAAAACAAGAAAAATAAAACAAAACAAAACGAAATAAAGCCCAAGGCCAAGAACTACGACCATTAGAGTCTATCAATGACCTGTAACTTGTAAAAATAACCAGTTTGCTATTTTTAAAAAAGCACACAAAAAACCCAACCCCC